CATTATCCGTTAAAAAAAAAAAAATCGTGATACATTAGTAAAATATACTTAAGCTATTACATTAATTACATAGCATAGCTATTTATATTACAATTGTTTCATAACATTAATTGCTTCCATTTTTATTTCTTAACGGATCATCTTTAATATATTTCTTTTGATCAAATGTGGTTTTTCTCGAATCCAAATTAACCTCATCTTTTCTTTATACCAAACTATGCTATTTTCTATGAATCCTCTACCATAATCTGTACACATAAATTTACATTTATCCATATATAATAAATTAATTTCTTGCTTTTAAAGTTTTTCTAAATTTAAAACAAATTATAAATGATTTATTTTCTACCTAAAACTCATCTAGTTAATATGTACCTAATATTTTTTTAAAAAAATATTAATAATAACCTAAATAAATATTTGGAATTATTCAACAATGACATAAAACAACAATAACAAAAAATATTTCTACTTTTCAATTTGTAAAAAATTAAATTCAAAGTAATTATTATCTTCCATTACAAGAAAACATATAGATTAATAAATACAATAAATATGATAATTTATATTAAAATTATTACTTTATTTTCTAAAATATTCTTTTTCTTTCATTTTTACTCATTTATTTTTATTGTTTACTATCTCTCTTATTAAAGGTAAAAGTATAAGAAAAAATAATTATGACTTTAGATTTCTAAATGATAAAGATAAGTATAAATATACAATTAAAAATATAATGTACTATAAAGTGTTTAATGAATTTTCTCAATATCATTATGTTTCATATATCTATTTTTTATGCAGAAAAATCATTTTTAAAAAAAATATGTTCTACAAATAATAAAATTTAAAATTACTTACATATATTTTCCTAAAGTTTACTATCAAATAAAATTCTTATTATTAAGTATAAACAAACCAGTGTAACGCACGGTTATTATCACTAGTTATTAGATATATTTACCTTAATTATTTCTAATATATTATTAATAAATTAAATCAATGAATTTGATTAACTAGCATTTATTAGATTAAATAATTAATATATGACATATTATTAATGATATAAATATACATATACACTATAACTAACAATAAATATATATACTCAATAAATAATTATTATAATACATACCGTATTATTATTCATTATAATTAATTATACCAGTATTATATTATATTATATTATAACATTACCCTATAAATAAAATATGGACAATATTAATTATAATAATATTTAGTTAATAGTATTAATATTTTTACATGATTATCGCATGAGATATACCATATATTATTATACACACACATTGTATGTTATATATTTTTTTTGTGTAAATCATAGGTATCTCCCACAATCTCAGCCCGCGTTGACAACTGAGACACAACTCTTTGGTTGTATGTAATATATTTGATATTATATATAATTTGTATTTACATATTGCCTAATTTATTTTGTATTATAATAATTATTTTGTACATTATTCCTAATTTAATACGTACGTCCAAGAATAACTGATCAATATTGAAAAAAATGACACTTTAACTTTAGCTCAAATTGTTCAAAACAAACCCTTACTACCATCTCAACCCCAAAATCCAGTGGTACTAGTTCATAACACATCTATTATTACTGTACATCCACCATTTGTTGCGGCGTAACTTTTCACTATTCCTTTCGTTCATCGTCTCCGTATTGTGCTTGCCTTTCATCGAAGAGCACAGGTGGCAGAATATGGGCATGCTGGGCTGGTTTATGGGTGTGAATCAGCGGCTTCTAGAATTCATTGGTGGAGCCGTGGAGATTAGTCATGTATTTGTGAACGTGTCTCTGGATTTCCTTGACATGTGGACGCCGCAATTGAGTGCAGTGGGCGGCATTGAAGCGCGGCGCAACTTTATCCTGTTCATTCGGCCGGTTATGGCTTCATTTTCCTGAGTCATTTCGCAATGGCACCGCGCATGGTTGTTTTTGGCCACGTGTACATTGTTCTTGACAGTTGTAACTAGCTCTTGGTTATAGCCGCATAGAAGCTTCCATTCTGACATGGTTAGCTGTCAAGCAAAATGCAATTGGGGATATAAGTTGTTGAAATGCTACAATGGGAATCCTGGCAGGGCGGGCTACAATGATCTCTTCTGGAAGGGAATGGCCACAGGGTCTTAGGTTTCTTCAGCTCTGTCGAAACTACGACAAATATGCACGCTGATCTTCAGGTAATTTTGAGACAATAGCAAAAGATAGTGGATTCTTCTATCTTCACCTCGGTCGGATTCAATTGAAGCTCTGAACCTGATTCACAACTACGACCCCAAATTCCACTCTTTCGTTGCTATTTTTTTTTGGATTAGAGACCTCCTCACTCCCCAATGAAGGTGACACTAGGCCATACGAATTTCCTGCTAAATGTGGCTCTGTGTGTGATCATGGGTTGATTCTGTTTCCGAGTCCGCCTCCGGCCATTCTGCTTCCGTTTCTGCTATACGGGGGTGACGGGGTGCTTGCCTGGGATGTTTTCTATACATATGGTTAAGGAGTGGCCCCCAAGCATTGCATGTCCACAGTGCAGCGTTTTGGCTTTTGAGTTGTAATTCAAGTACTAAGCTCTATTCTTCTATTTACTCACATGTCTATTCTGAAGGCAGAATTGGAGGCTTAAGATTCATTTAATAAATGATTCATTTTTGGCTTCATTGGAAGTATAGGCGAAGTTTGCTTCATCAATCACCCATGTTATAAACCTTGATGGATGTACAAATGATCTTGACATGTTTGGTGAGTGGTGATGTATCTGTTGAACAATATGAACCAGGGAAAGCCCTTAGTCTTCCTCCTCTTATTGATGATTTTATTTATTAAACTTCTTTTTGTTATTTTATATTCCTTTTCTTTTTATTTTTTCATCTTGGGATTTTTCTGAATAGGTGATAAACAAACCAAGGTGATTCATTTTGGAAATCATTCAAAGGATCCTCTACATGACACTTTGATCTGTCTTTCATACATTTTTAGTTGTCCTTTTTTGCTCGTGAAAAAATCAGTGTTTACAGCAACAGACTTTAAATCTTATGAATAATATTTGGAATATCTTAAATAATTTTCATGGTGTTTTGAGGTGCTCTTTATATTCACTCATAAAGAAACGTCCACCATGCTCTATAAGGAAGTATATATTCTTTGCTTTCTCCTGTTACTGAATAAACGAGTATGATTGCTCTGTTTCCATTTAATTAGAATATAAATGGTTAATATTTACTATAAATATTAAAAGGTATTTTTTATTATGTATTAAGCCATACATTTTACTGGTCAATTAGCACAAATAAGCAACAAGTTAAAGGGAAAGGAAAAGCAGTTTTTTTTAGCTGCAGAGGAAATTTAAATTGAAGTTACTGAATAAAATGGCATGAATGAGACAAGCTATTGGAAAAGGTAAACGGAGAGTAGCACCAACTAAATTCTACAGACAATACTATCACATGTTTGGAACAGGGGCTAAAAAATAGCAAAAGTTTGATTGCAACTGTTGAAAGTTTGTTAGGAAAAGATAGGAAAGATAGACCTTGGTAGAAAAGAATTTTAAGAAAATATTATTAAGAAAACCAAGGATGAAGCAACATGTTATCTTCAAATTCTCACTTTCACATTTCACATGTTGTAATGCTTTGAATCGATTGTTAGATTGCTAGACTAATCTACCGAAAACATTCTTTTCTTTTTGTCTTATGGTATGGCAGGTGGGACTTGAAGTTGAAGGTAAATAAAAAACCTCTTTGGTTTAAATGCAAATAGGTGATCCACCAATTTAAGTAACTATGACATTGGTTGGGATGGAAAAATTGAATGCTGGTATATTTTACATTTATATTTAATAACATGTTACCGCATTACTAACATTACTAACATGGAATAATGAAGTGTTGATATAAAACTAAATGACAATATAAAAACACTTTTGGCTAAAAATCTTCAAAGTTAAACTTCACAATGACAAAATTATTTTATATTGTTTAACTTAATTTTTTCATGTAAAAAGATTATAATTCCTACTCTAATTATAATTTTTCATTTACTCAAATGTGAGAAATGTTTGGGATATATACATAATAAATTAAGTTACGCCTTGCATTAGCCCAAATCATATGATTTAATGGAGGTCATATTAGTTCTCAGTTTTTTTTGGAAAATCATGTACCATAGTATTTTATTTTCTAATAAGATCATAATTATATATGTTGTAATTTATTTTTAGAAGAATGTAAACCATGTAATTGTCACAACTAATTAGTTTCTTTAGAAAATTTTCCTTTTTTATTTTTGGAGAGGGATGGGTGCAAGCAAGATATGGATATTTGATTCATTGTTCCGAACTTTATCAAAATAGAGATATTTTTAAATGAATAGCTAAATTAAAGAAGAAAATATTTATTTGAGTTTACATGAAAAGTTAGATGACACATGTTAATAAAAAATGAAGACATGTGATTTCTTAAATATGATCGAAAAACATCTCCTTTATTATTTGAGTTTCTTTTGGTATTAAAGGTAAGAATAATTGTTAAAAATAATCTACTGTAGTCTAAAAATTAATAACTTTAATTTACATAAACAATCAATTTAATAAAATTATATAATATATATTACCATATAATAATGTATTATTAAATTTTTAATAAATATATAACATTTCATGTTAGAAACATATTCTAAAAGGTTAGTTAAATTGTTAAAATGTTATTTTTATGGAAATAAAATATTAAAATATAGAAAGAAAATATGTTTGAAATTTTTAATTTTGAAAATTTTAAAAAATAATTGAATTAATAAAAAAATGTCTTAATATATAATTAAAGTCCATTATTGTCATCTTTTGTACATTATATTTATACTTTTTCCTAAGCAAAAGGAATGAAGGATATTCCAATACATTACAAAGTAATCAATACATCATACCAAAAACTGAACCTGTGAAAAACCATCAATAATAAGTATTCATTAATCAATATTAATATGGGAATTGAACCCAGGTTTCAAGATTCTAAATACTAAATTACTAGCTAATACTACCACTACTTAGGATAAGTCAATTAAGTAAGATAAATTATGTAACTTCTATAATTATTAAATTGATTATATATTTTTAAAATATAAATTTTGCATGAACTATTAAATTAAATGATAAAAAAGATAATTCCGTGCTTAGCACGGGTATCTTACTAGTTCATAATATCCATCTACACCAAAATACCCTTGTTAAACCCTTTACCTTATTGCTTTTTATTGGTATGAATAAGTAATGTTTACTTATTATATATATTTATCATTTAATTTAATTATACAAAAAAAATACATTTCAGTATATTATTAATTATAATAATAAATAGTATATAACGTATACTAAGTGCAATGTACACATTTAACTCATTATACAATTTAATATACATTTATTTTTTTTATAAAATAATATACATTTGATTATTAACATATTAATAATTATTAATAATATAAGAGGTATAAATTTAACTATATTATTATTTAATTTATATCTCTAATTTTTCTATATCTTAATAAATACTAACTAGCTAGGATAATAGCACTACAAGAACAATAATATTTATATAATTATATATTCTTCATTGTAGTAATAATAATAATATTATTAATATACATTGTATATTCCTAATTTATATATGACTATTTTAATCATTTGGCATCTAAAGAACTGGTATCTGAGGAAAAAAAATTAACAACTGGTATCTGAGAAGCTAACATTTGGCATCTAAAGATTTAATGTTTCTCTCAAGGGGAGTAATATAAAAATGGAGGAGTTGACAACTCTTATAATATAATCTCTTTGCTTACTCTTGTTGAAATTGATTGTGCCTTTGCTTACTCTGTTTCTTTTTAATAATGACAAAAGGGGGAGAAATATAACTAAACAAAATTCCTGAAAGTAAAAATGTTTTCAGAAATATAAGATGATAAAAGATATCCAGTTTAGGGGGAGTTCTCACAATTAACAAAGACTCATCTGAAACATAACATAATCATTTTGTGACTTGAATCTTTTATGATATTTGTTAGTCATATCTAATTTGTCATCATTAAAAAGGAGGATATTGTTGAGTCTAAGAATTAGTCTGAGCATTCAAACTTAACTTAAGACTCAGTATCCTTAGGTTTTAATGATTAACAAATTAGACTAGATTAAAAGAAAATAGGTGCTACTAAGAAAGATATTGTTTTGTAGATTGTGTCTCAGGTTGAAGTACTCATCTGAAGTATAGAAGAACAAATGCGAATCAAAAGATGAAGTGAAGCATTGAATCTGAAGAAAAGTAAAAAGTTGATCATCTGAAGACAATCTGAAGACTTGAAGACGAACTGAAGATCTGAAGATAATTTGAAGACTTGAAGACGAACTGAAGATCTGAATATAATTTGAAGACGAACTGAAGATCTAAAGATAATTTGAAGACTTGAAGACGATCTGAAGATAATCTGAAGACTTGAAGACGAATTGAAGATCTGAAGATAATTTGAAGACTTGAAGACGAACTAAAGATCTGAAGATAATTTGAAGACTTGAAAACGAACTGAAGATATGAAGATAATTTGAAGACTTGAAGAAGCATTGAAGATCTGAAGACAATTTGAAGACCTGAAGAAGCCTTGATCATCTGAAGACAAGCTTGCATCAGAAGGATAACAAAGGAGAAGAAAAGAAGACTAGACCATCTAAATCATATTCATCGTCTGAAGACTTGAAGACAATAGAAGAACTTGATTTCGTCTAAAGAGTGACTATCATCTGAAGATTCAAAGATCATCTGAAGCAATCTGTGCATCTGAAGGCGGAAAGTATCATATTCGAGGTTTGACCTTTTGAAGATGTTGCTATGGATAAAGAACGGTCTTTCAAATGGACTAACCTTATCCAGCTCAAGAATCAAAATCACTTTTCTACCTCGTTCAAATAATTTGCACAAATAAGGAAACTCTGCAACTGTTGCTGCACCTGCAACAAAAAGCAATTGCGTGCGCAGACCTACTGCATCTACTGCTTATCAGAACGAATCAGACTGAACAAGCAAAATAAACAAAAAGCTATTTGAACTAAGTCTATTCAATTCAACATCATTTATCTATCTGGATCACAGAAGAAAAGAAAGAGACAAAGAAGAACAAGAGTTGCAATCATCTGAAGAAAAGAAGAAGAAATTTTGCTAAGAGAAAGGAACTTGCTGAAAGTGTTCTCAATCTGAAGAACCAAAACAGGCTTGAAGCAATCATCTGAAAGAAGTATTTGTTGAATTTGCTAATATCAAGCTGAGTCAAAGCAATCATCTGAAAGCTCATGAATCATCTGAAAGTATGAATTCAATCTTCTGAACACACATACTCTCTGATCAATATGATGAGATATATCAGACTATCTGAAGATATGAGGACTCTCAACTCTCTGACTACGTGGACAAATCTTAAACGACGAGAAGTCTTAACAAAAGCAGATACCACGTGATCAACAACCGGAAGATTTGCTCAAATATTTAAGGAACTCTGCTCAAGAAAGAGAAAGGAGAAAATAGCAGAAGCTAAGAAAAAAAGGAGTTTGCACAAAACGGGGAAAAAGACAAGTTTAACAGATCCTTATACAATATCTGAAGTTTTGGCTTCAATCACAAGAAGGGGGTTGAATTGTGATTGAATAAATTTTATCTGCAATTTCTTTTGATACTTCTTCTGCTCAAGGGTTTGCCTTGGCTAAGTATAAAGAAATAAACTTCCAGAAGGTAATGGTTAGCTTGTTTTAATTATTTAGAATACATATCTCGAGTTAGGTAATGTGCAATAATAATAAAGAGGGAGAGTAAAGAAGATGACACACAAAAATTTATACTGGTTCACCTCTTCCAACCTGAGGCTACCTCCAGTCCCTACACCTGTAGGATTTTCTCACTCTTTCAAGAAACTTACAATCTTCTTGGGTAACCTTACCACTAGTATTCTTTACCTGCCTCTTCAGGCCAACAACAACCTAACCAACTCAGTCTTACAACTGAATATTAACTGCAGAACCTTCTGCAGAAGATTCACTACCCAGAATACTGCAAGTACCTTCTGCAGATTCTGTAACCTCACTGATATCACCTAAGCTCAGTAAACCTCACAGGAAAACCTTTCCTTTACTGCTCAGAAGAAGGCTATGCACATGCACACCTCTTTTGAGACTTTTACAATCAATATGAGAAAGAATAAAAACAAACAAGGCTCAAACTATTACAATACTTGCACAGCAGAAGCAAATTGATGAGCCAAGACCCTCTCCAAAGCTTTTCAGACCAGAAAGCACTCTTATGAAGGAGAGAGAAATTTTCCATAAGATAGGAGCAATGAAACAGCAGATTTATATGTTTCTTCTGGAGTGAGGTGAGTTCCAAGTGTAGAGGAACTCTCCTTTTATAGAGGGCTGGAGCAAAATAGCTGTTGGGCAACCAGCTGGGTCCAAGGAGATGTCCCTTTCTCTGCTGCGACAAGTACAGCTTTACAACTGTCATGTTTGACCAGCTCTTCCTTCTGCAGGGTTCCTTCTGCAGGCAGTTTTTGGGCTGTTTCTCAAGGCAATTCTTCTTCAAATAAGCTGAAACCTTCCAGTATAGTATTTTTACTTATTCTTGAGTTAATTGATCCATTGAAATCATGAGAAGATGAGTAGAGGAAGATTATCATGAATTTAGCCTTATTTGTATCTTCTGCAGCAATGCATTCCTTCTGCAGGGCTTCTGGAGCTTCACTTCTCTTGCAGATCCTTTTAATATTCATCCTTTGCTTGATTGAGAATATATTTATTTTTATTGTACAACTGTGTTCTTAGAGGACAAGGAATTCAATCTGTTCTTTGGTTTAAGACATATTTTGTTCCTTCTGCAGAATTAGTAATCTTAGGTTCTTCTAAGAAGCAGCCATCCATCTTCTAGTAATTACTTTCATATAACAAAGAAAGCATATCTTGATGCTAGAAAGTCAGTAATGAGCTTTTCTTTTACTGTCTCGAAATGAATCTTCCTTCTAACACAATTTTATTATGATTTCTTCTCTTAGAAAGTTGTTCTGATTTTCTGGACAATGACAGTGTGCCTCTTATTGCTTTTCAGTATGCATTCTATCTTTTTTTCACAGATTTGTCATTCTTGTCAAATCTGAGACTTATCTTCATAAATGAGTGTCATTCATTTCCTTCTTTTGTTGCTCAATTGTTCCTTCTGCAGATGCTTACCTGTATCTTCTGAACATTCACTTGAACAAAATCATTAGTCCTTAAAGTTCAGAATTATTCCAAGTAAACTTTGATTGGTTGTCATCATTAAAACATTCTTTAAGGGATTCTTGGACCTTACAATCTCCTCCTTTTTGATGATGACAACCTATCAAGTTTTACATTATAATTTTGAAGGTACTCCCCCTGAGTGTATGCATGTACCTTTATCATTTCCTTTTATGTCATTCAGTTTATTGTAAATTTCATGTAAGTTTCAAGAATGCACACACAGAACTTTATTGTTATAGTTAATCAATTGATCAGGTTGTAGAGCAATTTATATCAGCAGGAAAAAGCATAATTTAATTTGAACATTCATTAATCAAAAAAAAGGTCATCCAAAAAGACATGATCAATGTCATACACAATAAGCCAAATAAGATCTCTCCTAGCAGATTCCTAAGACATAACAATGTCACATAACCTACTACATACTACTTCTCCCCCTTTGTCATCTATCAAAAAGAATCTAATAAGCCCTAGGAGAAGCAGAATCATCATCTTCTTCTACTTAGAGGGTGAAGAATGGTCAGAGGATGATGAGGTAGTTGGTTGGAGGATATTCTGAGGAGGCTGGTATTGATTAAATGGCATTTGTGGTGCTTGAGGAGCAATGACAGGTAGAACAAAGGTGTTGAACCAGAACTGGTGCTGTGAGAACCTTTCAATCATCTCATTTACAGAATTTTGCAGAACATTGATATTAGAAAATAGTTTCTTGATGTCTGCCTTTATCTTCCTCACTTGTCTCTCAAGTGTTTGGGAGGAAGGAGTAGGTTCAGTCGGGGCAGTGGAAGAAGCATCTTCAGATGCAGTAGCTTCAGAAGGTACCTTGAGATGTTTTTCAGATAACTCAATTTCT